AAATGAGAGGAAAGTAAAGAAAGAGAGAAAGAGCGGATTCCCGTCGAGACACTGATAGATGTCCACGCGCTCCGATAGAAAAGAGGCCCCGCGTCTAATTCAATTGCAGGCCGCCGTTCCGCAAACACTCATGATAATTCAATCAAGCCTACCCTATGACGTTATATCCACTCTCCGCCGCCCTGCATGGCCGGTCTAACCCCCGCATGGCGGCACCGCGGAGGGTGGAAGCTGCGCTCGTAATCTCCGTATGAGAACATCTGCACTCTAATCGGCTGATGATATCCCGCCGAAACCGTTCGCTCCCCGCTTCTTACGCGTACACGCGTCTCTCCTCTCACGCGGACGAAATAAATCGTCCGTCAGTATAAGCGTCGGACCGAACAATTGGGATTAGGGGTCCAGAGGGAGGGAGGGGGCGGGGGGGGGGCGGATTGAAAATTAGCGCAGATCGCCTTATCTTCGGAAATTTAATATCGATTATGCGCGCACACCGCCACGCCGACGAGAAGAGACTGTCACTTTGGCAGTTTGGTTGAAAACTGGTTCTCTCTCGGTCGCCCGAAAGCTCGCTCAAACTCCTCGCGAATTAATTCCTTCCGCCTGTTTACGACCGAAGGAATCGCTATTCGACCTATGCGGAATTGCGGACCAACACTCTCGTCGTTCTACGGTCTGCCGATAGTTCTAGGTGTAGGTCGGGTCAACGCAGAGAACAGTTCTGTGTCGCACGTTGCGGCTCCGTCGAAGCCGACCACGCAGCAACATCGTTGAGCTAAGAGAGAAATATAAATCCCAAGGTAAGGAGGGACAAATGCTTCTTCATGTTATACCAGCAACATTTCGGCGAGTCGAAACATGTAAGAAATATCCTGCAAGCGCCTACGTGGCGCCCCGAATCCCCGCAAGGACCACGAAGTGCGTTGGTCAGTTTTCCGTCAGTTTTCGCGAAGTGTCGGTCGTGTCTCCGTGAGAGCGGCGTGAGAGCTCGCTGCACTTCATCGGCCGGATGTCGAATGCATCAGGAGCCGGAGCTCCAACTTTATCAGCACGTTCACGCGTCTCTCCTCCCGATCCCTCGCGATCGCGTCTCGGAATATCGTCACATTAGCTTCCGCTGGCGGACCACTTGTCAACGTCAACACTGCATCTTTGCGAGTCTGGCCGCCGGTCGTGTCTTTCCGGCCGTTTATTGTTTCGCGACATCACGCTTCGCACGGAGAAATAGCCGGGTAAACAAAGCGTCGGCGTGTGCCATCGCGCTAATTACATCGCGCATATTCGCTCTAATTAGACGCGACCGTGTGACTTACAACACGACTGGGAGAGCCAGAGCGGCGTGCGAAGCGACGCGCACGTTCGCGCTCGCTTGATACCGGTTAGAGGACGGAGGACGAGGGCAAAAAACAAATATTTAAATATTTAACACTGACGTCGAGACGGACGGTATATGCGTCGGTGAGCGGCCGAGCGTGGAATCCCGGCGTTAATGTCCCGGTCGTTCCCGATGCACGGAATGTCGATACCGCGCGTAACTCTGTTTCAGGGTCTAATCATGCAAATGTATGAGCCGTTAATTAAAAGCGACGTAAACTGTATTTCGACCAGGCGGGACGCGATGCGACGCGACGCGAAGGGGGGGGGGAAAAAAGAGAGGGTCGACATTTTTGCGTCGCGCCACCGCGACATTCTGCTAACGCGCGTTCGCGTTTGAATTTTTTTCGTCGGGCTGCGAGAGCGAGCGAGCGAGCGAGCGAGCTCCTCCTCCCCGAGGTCATTACGCATATCGATACGGTGCTCGTAAATAGAGGACAAAGTTGCAAATTACGCTGCGGCGTAATTTGCGACGCAGCCACATGAAGGGAGTTACCATAAGAGGATAGTTGTCGCGAGCGTACCGCGTCACGCGTGTGTCTCCGTGTCGTGAGAAAATTGCGTTACAACCGCAACGGTCGACGTGGATCAATTGATATTTCACTCGTACGGGCCGCCGATACGGTTCAATTTCGACGGCCGGCCGTGAGTCTCGCGACTCACCGACCGGCCGGGGGTGCGTCGCGGTTTTCTTCCTTCGAACCGAGAAATTGCGAGTCGAGTCGTCGTCGTCGTCGTCGTCGTCGTCGTCGTCGTCGTCGTCGTCGTCGTCGTCGTTCGTATTCGCCGCGCATTGGGCGACTTTGTGATGTGACTGTGTGACAGCGAAGTCGAATGCCAGAATTCGACGGATCGCACAAATCGGACGAATTTAAAGGAGAGTTTCCCCTCCTGAAGTCATTTGTATACTCGCCATCTATACGCACGCTTACGATTAATTGTGCATTTGGTGAGAAAGCTACCTGATTCTTTAAAGAAGGCTTTACTAACTGCTTTCTTGTGTGTTTGAACTGTCGAGAGTGGCGGAGCTCGCGCTGCTTATTACGGCGCCTGAGAGCGCATGTGGTGCAAAACCGGCCGAGTCTATTTCTGATCACGCGCGTGGCGGATCGCGCAAAGACCATGTTCCGCGATTAGATGGCAACAAATGAATTAAATTCATAGAATTCCGCGCAAATCAAAGAGATCGCGTCTCGAGGAGCGCTTTAGATACTGTGGTATCGAGTACAGTTGTCCGATTGTGATAATCGCAACTGAGATTACGCGACGCAAGATTACACATTTTTTGCCGCGCGACCGCGCGAGATCTCATCGCAGAATGCTCCAGAACGGCCGAATATTCGCACTGGCGAAATGCCAGGGTGTGCTAAAAAATTTCGAATCTATTTTATTCTAGCCAGACCTGCTTAAATTGTCGCGAACTTGCCGCTTTCGCGCATTAAACACCTCGACCGACGTTTGCTCTCGAGACGTTTGCTCGTCAAAATGGCAACCGAACAGTCACAAGTCGCAAGTACGCTTTTTGCACGTTTGTCATCATCGTTATTCCCAGACGATCCTGAATTCGCCGAAAATTACATCGATTTCAATTCCCGCAGATACTTTATCGTGCGAAGTCGCAGACGCCAACTTCCAATTCCAGCGTTAATTTAATTATCCGTCGTACCCCGGCACGTTGGGCTTGCTTCTCGCAATCGTCGACTTTAATTATTCATTCATTTTATTGCACATTATCAAATTAATCGCGAGCATAAATTAAAGACCGCGAGATCCCACCGTGACGCGCACCGCGCCGCGTCGCGGCGGTGCGAACTCAGGCATTCGCCATTTTTATTCGCGAATAAAATATAGCGTCGCAATGTGTGTTATGAGAGATAAATACGGCAGATATTAATGTTGTCCCACGATAATTGCGATCTCGTCCTCGTGCCCACGCGCGCGCGCGAAAAACACGTGTTATACAACGTAATACTACAACATTTAATTACAGAAAATCATCGGCGAATCGTTTCGCGTCGTTAAATATTCTATGCATTTGATTATGAAAATGCGATAACTCGAGTTAATAATAAACGAGAACATGAGCACGCCCGGCAGCACGCGGAAAAGACTCGTGCAGACCGCGTCTGCGATCGTGAGGGATACGATGCGCACCCACGTCGGGATGCGTCCAACGAGAAAGCGATCGTTTTCTTACACACGGAGGGATTTTCTGATGAAATGTGCGGATGCCTCGGCAATTCCCACTGAAAATATCAGAATTCTCTATTGAAGTTAATGAAAAATCTTGATCATTTAGACTGAATTCTGATAACTGCAATCGGAATTCCCGAATCGTTCGTACCTCACCAGAAAATTGCTTTATTCAACGAAACATCTTCCTCTCCGTATTTTCTCCGTAGACGCGACTACGCTGCAAACCCGAGTGTGTTACTTTGACACACATATAAGCTGAGGCTTTCTTCACGCGTTTCTTGTCGTCTGAAATCACGTCATTTGATGCATTTCGATATCACTTGACGCGTTTAAACGCGCTAAACGATGTGATTTAAGACGACAAGATACGCGTAAAGGAAGCTTCGGCTTATACGCGTTAAAATAACACACTCGGGTTTGCAGTGTATTCTCTTTATATTGTTACGTATCAAAACGGCTATTTTCAACGTTTATTTCCTAATGTATTTAATCGGATATTTGACTGGATAAAGAAATTAAGAGTCGGATGTCGCGGATATTTTTTTCAGTGCGTCTATTCACTATAAGTGCGTTTTTCGCACTGTAAATTGTATGCTAGAGCAATTGTTGCAACAGTTGAAAACGATATACGCAATACATATACACACACACACACACACACACACACACACACACGCATCAAACACAACACTCAGAGTTATTTTTTATTCCAGTTTACAGTGTAAATTATCAGTTTATCGCACGACAAGAATGCTTTATGCATTCTTACTTATCAACTATACGTGTATGAAAGCTTTCCGGTAATTACAACGCCATTTACGGTGTAGTATAACGTCATTACGTCGCGGAGTATTCGTACTGCTCGGCTACTTTGTCGGTCTTTCGCGTGGAAAGATCAGATAAATCCGTAAATCAATACTGTCAATTGTGCTTTCTGCCTACATCAAGATCGACGTAATATTTATTACATTTATAATATCACGACAGAATCACGGAAAGATTAGACGAAGTATTTTGTAAGATATACGCGTAAATCCCAAGAAGAATAGCGTGTTTAAGTGACGGCAATGACTCAGATGACAAATATTTTCGTTCCACTTAGATTAAGGTCTGTTCTTTTTAGCTAAACCAATGCTGCAAAGGAGCAACCTCGTCCCTTTTCTCTTCAACGCGCTATGTGGCGCTGTTTCGCTCTAAAGGCAAGAAATGCAACCCAATTTAGCAGAAAAGGTTAGACCTCATCATCGGGTCAAAACAGACTGACCTTTTTCTCTTTTTACCTGAACTAATGCTGCGCTGAAAGTTTTCTCGTTCCTTGTCCTCTCGACGTTTATACACTTGTTTCGCTCTAACGGTGAAAAGTGCAACATAGTTCAGCTAAAAGGAAACAGACCTCTGAGGGTGCGTTCTCGTCTCTAATGGGTACTCACTCTGCGTAGGATCGCTGGGCTCGTCCTGTATATTCACCGGCGAGATCTTCAATGATCTTGGAGGGCCCTGGAAGCCGATGGGCCCGGGCCCCCCGGCTGCGCCCACCCGCTGCATTACGCCGGCACCCCCTATTTCCGCAGCTCCTCCACTCCTGCGCACCTCGCGCGACGGTTTTCGAGCAATCTTGAAGCTTTCGTACCGACCACCGGCCGTACCCCTCAATTCGCGAAACTTCAACGGCGCTCGCGAACGTCTACCCTTCCGCGAGTATGCCGAGATATCACCACCGGCGGTCAAGATCCGCGACAAACACGGACGACCGCTTTCCCCCTCGTCTTGTCAAGATTTCCCAGCACAAGAACTACAGTATATCCTTATACGATTAAGGGACGTTGGAGAACGTCTCGAAGCACCCCTCGGCCGGTCAAACGTTTGATGTCGATACTCGTGTCAGGATTCACATTATAGCCTCGTCGAAACTTGAGGTCTCTCGAGGCAGAAGGTGAAAAGAAGCCGAATCGCTTCGGGCATTCGTCGATTCACGACTGATTTTACACGCAGCTTCAAATATCCAACCTGATGCGTTATTCGTGCCCCGGTATGTCGACTCTTCGAGGTTTGTTCAGGACAACCGGTACTTGCACAATTTCTCGATTCACTTGGTATTTCGACAATCTCTAGCCTCGCCTGGAGATTCGCTTAGTTCGTCCGGTACTTTGGCGTTGCTGTAACGGTGTCGTAGCTCCAACCGTCTCTCATTCTTTCACTTCGCTCCCGTGAAGTCTTTTCTGGATTACTCCACTCTTTCGTGATACCATCCTTGCTGCATGTCAACTCACCCTGCAAGTTTCGCAAGCGGCACGTCGCGAATTTCGGTCACTAAGCAACCGAGATGCGACCAACGTGGCACGTATCAGACATTTAACGGATATCGCGATCCTTGTGGCCGATTTCCTCACCCTTACCAGCGAAACGGGTGCTCCCGAGTCATCGACTGCCGCCCTAACCTCTGGGGTCTACCGGCGGAGGGCACAGACCGATTCGCGGGTGCGACACGTCGCGGCACTTGACACGACGGCGCGATTATGTTCTTATCACTCACTATTAACGCGCGGTGAGAAGAAGCGGTGGCGACGGTGAAAGCAAAGACGAATTCTCCATTATCGAGAGCTGCGATGTACGAACGTAGTGGAACGAAAAAGGCGGACAATGGCGAGCGTGAGCAAAAGAAACAATCATTGTGGCAGGCGAAGGCGGACGAGACGTCGAGGAAGGTAGAGAGACCGCGAAAGAACAGGAGGAAGGCAGGGGGTAACAGCGAGAGGCAAAGAGAGGAAGAAAGGGGAGGCCGAACTAAGAGAAAGAGAGAGGGGAAGAGAGAGAGAGAGAGAGAGAGAGAGAGAGAGAGAGAGAGAGAGAGAGAGAGAGAGAGAGAGAGAGAGAGAGAGAGAGAGAGAGAGAGACACAGAGGGAGGGAAAGAGAGAGAGAGAGACAGAGAGAAAGAGAGACAGAGAGAAAGAGAGGGAGAGAGAGAGAGAGAGAAAGAGAGAGAAAGAGGGAGAGAGGAGAGAGAGAGAGAGAGAGAGAGAGAGGAAGAGAGACGCACAGTTGCACGAAACTACCCCAACGAGACTGACGGCGCGGGGCCCTGGGAGCCACTGACTGCCAGTTATGTAGGTGTCTCGCTATAGTCTGCTCGAGAACGCGACCCAACCTAACCGAGCTGCCAACCTCCCCCTTCAACCATTATCCGTTCTCTCACTCGTGTGTTCCCTCTTTTCTCTCTCTCTCTCTCTCTCTCTCTCTCTCTCTCTCTCTCTCTCTCTCTCTCTCTCTCTCCCCCCCTCTCTCTCTGTCTTGTTCATGCCGACGTCTGCGGCTGCAACCCCCCCTACTACCAACGTACCCCGGACTCTAACCTTTCTCCCTTCCAGGTACGGGCGTCCACGCTGGTGCGTCCTATCGAACGCGAGAGAACGGCGCGCGATCCCGACCGGATTCGTCCACGCGGTGGAGTCGACGCCGTCCCGCATCCACGCCTCCGCGACCCCGGCGAGCCGGCAACAAAATGGCCGACCGCGCATCTAATCGATTCGCGTGCTTGTCCTCTCTCTGCCTCCTCCGTGACTCTCGCATCCTTCTCCTTGCCGTGCAGGACGCCACGAGTCCACCTCCATCTCGACGCTCTCTCCTCCTACCGACGTTTGCTTTCCCTCTTTATTTTTTTTCTTATCCATCTCTCTCTCTCTCTCTCTCTCTCTCTTTCTCTCTCTCTTTATTTCTTGATCTCTCTTTGCCTCTCCGTGTCTCTCCTACGCTTTAACTTCTTCTGCTACCCTTCTTTGTACGCTCCCGGTTCGCCCTTCGTTGTTCCTTTGTTTCGTTTCTCTTTCTCTTTTTCTCGGCCCCCTTATTCTATCGCTACCGATATGTCGTCGTATTCGTCCGCTCATCTTCATCGACGTATTTTTTCCTTTGCCTCTCTCTCTCTCTCTCTCTCTGTCTCTCTCGTCCTTTTTGGTCGTACTATTCTTTAGGCTTCTATATGGTCTTCATTTCCCTTTCTTCTCTCTCTATCTCTCTCGTTTCTTCTTGCATCCTTTCTCCGATGATCTGCCTTGCTGTTCGATGTCGGCTGAGCGCTAACCAAACGGTTCGGTATCTATAGGGAGTTTTTGCAACACCGTCTCTCAGATACGGTAAACATAAGTCGTAAACGTTATTCGCTCAGAAATAACGTCGCAATGTACGCGACCAATAGCATTCACGATTTACGTTTACCGTATTTGAATGATGGTATTGCAAAAACTCCCTTATGTCGTACTTGTAGCACGCTACGCTCGTGTTCGCCCGGCTTCAGCTCGCTTCAGCTTTCTCTCCTCGCGTTCCTCCCTTGTTTATTTTTCGGCTGTTTCGCAGTTGCGCCGTCGTGCCGACGCAGCTGCACCGTTCATGACTTCCCGTGCATGGAATCCCTGCAAAATGAATGGCAATTCTTTGCCGCCGAGTACGTTAAACGAAAGCTTTACTTCAAAATAATGATCCGAATTGAAATTGACAACGATGAATTCCGACAAGACGCCAGTCAATGCGACGTGTGTTCCTTTAGAAATATCTTGTGAGATCTTCGCTCATCCAATTCAGTGACAACGTCGAATCAGGTTGAGGAAACAACATGCTCATATGTATCGAAAAACAGAATAGCCGAATGGACGAAATGACGAACTTCATGCTACTAAAAATAAGCTGCTTGAAAACCTGCAAGAACAGTCGTCCTGTTTTATTAATGCTTTCACTAGGTTTGCCTCTTAACTCTTGCAGAAATTACTCGCTTCTCTTAATCTCTCTTATACTCACCTCTAACATATTTTAATCTATTCATTTTAGCTTCACTTGCAGTTTTACTCGCATTACAGACGCATAAGTCTTCTCGTTCTTCTCCTTCTAACTACTAAACTACTCCTCTTGTGTAGGTTATATATTTGTCTTTTGTAGGGCAATACCGCGTTTTTTCTTCTTCTTACCCCCCTTTTTATTCATCCGCGATGGATGTGACGTTCGGTGCGTCTCGTGCTTCATCCTGCATCCAAATTCTCTCTGTACTACGTCAGATCACACGTCTCTCCTGAGCCGAATGACAAGTCGTGCAATACAAGATGAAATATGGGCGTTAAATAATCCCAAGGATGTCGTATAGAAGGACATTATGCATGCAGGAGGAGCAAGCTGCAAGGTTAACAGTGCGATGAAATATTTCCGTGCGTTGGCACGAAAATCATTATAGTAACGCGATCGCCGAGCGCTCGGCATCGCTTGAAATGATTAAAGAGACACGTCGATCGTCACGGGTAATCTAACTCTAATGGCGACCGCTTACACGCGACGTACAATTTTTCAAAATTAATCGACACCCTTGGATGTCGCTCTCTGTCATCTGTCTCGTGAACGGGCGAGGTCTCGAAATGCCGTTTCGGCGCTATTTTGGCGAGTATCCGCTACATTTCGTCACCTGCCCCCTTCTCCCGCCTCTAACTTGGCGAACCTCTTTGGTTTGCAGGAACATTCGAGCGCGCCTCCCGTAGCGCGACAGAACTCTCCTGCCTGTCGCTGGTCGAGCTATCGATTAGGTTGATTTCTGCGCAATGTCCGACAGAGGTTAGAAACGTTGCGCAGAGTGAGAAGTTGGCGCGCGCGGCCGGCATTCCGTCAGACAAATGAAGATGAAGCGCAAGTTTTTAAGTTTTTAAGTATACTTAGCGGATAACTTTGAGGCTAAATCGGAAATGAAAGAATTCGACATACGCGCGCACGCGAAGTGATTTTACGCTCCGAAAATCTCGCCATCTCCCCATTAATCTCGACGACTGTCCGTCCTTCGTCTCCGGACGAAGAGTTTCATGAAAATATAATCTCATGTCCACAGCTGTGTGTGTGAAATTTACGGTTTCGACTCTGACGTCTCTCGGCACGAGCAATAAGTGCATCTCCACGGCACAACGAACAAATTTCTCACCGCGATCTTATCCTACGTTTGCCGAGTTTCGCGGTGCGGAAACGCCATTGAGAAAACACCGCGCTTTGAAACGTTAAGTACACGCCACCGCTTAAAGATCAAAGAGCATCGAGGCGCAATCGCACGTCGTTGCGCAGAACGACGAGCGATCGAGACCTGTCTGGTCAACCTGTCGAGCGATTGTTCTCAGCAAATTAAATTTAAAGCGTGAAACGTGAAACGCGCTCTTGGAGATTCCCTTCTTCAAATTTCATCGTTCGCCCGCTATAATTCGCCCGCTATAATTCAATTCCTCAAATTCCTCACTTGGTTCACTTTCGCGTAGTAACAACCGCATTCATTATCGCACGAACAATTCTGTAATGTCAGCCGAGTCCGCCAATATCGCATCTCCGACGCGACGTGACGGCAGATCGAAATAAAATTCGACTTGTTCGTGGTGTTTTGCTTGACTTTTTTTCGGTGTGGATTACTAGCGGAAGTAAATATTTCCTTCGCTTGTCGGGTCGGGTAATTTATTCTCGCCGACGTCCGACGTTACGATTCGACCGATGAGCTTTCCGCTTAAAAGTCTCATCAAATCATTTGATTTTTGTAAGATATGTCGCGCACCCGGCGCGCATTGCTGTTTGATGAGATTACGTCTGCGGAATGGCGGATCGTGCACCGTGACCGTTGTTTTTTCGCATGCAACCAGAAAAGCACGATGTTATTTGGCCTGTTTATAAACACTCCTTCATTTTCCCAGCGTGTTAAATGTTGCTCGTAGCAACGATCTCCTCGATACCTTCGCGTGACGAAAATATGTGTAATTATTTCGAATGTAAAGTATAAATGAGCGAGGATATATAGAATGTTGTTTAATAGCGCATCTTAGAGGTTTTTGGCTATTTGAGTCGGAGAAAAGGAGGGAAATATAAATAAGAGAGAGAGAGAGAGAGAGAGAGAGAGAGAGAGAGAGAGAGAGGAGGAACTCCCCTTTCTTTCTCTACTTTTTTCTTTAAATTATTGTTTTTCAGCGAATCCTTGGCTCATTCTGCGGGTGAGTTACCGAGATCATTTTCACTCAGGTAAAACTCTTATACGAACAAATCGACGCCATTATCGCCGAAAAATTTACAATTCGAGATAAAGCAAGTCAACGTGCGGTAGACCTTCATACATTCTAGCCGAATAAGTCGGCCGATCGTGCCAAAGATACCACGATGAAAGTGTATGCTAATATCATTAGACTCGGGCATTCTGATTCCGAAGAGGATAAGGATGACATATCCGCACCGTATGGTTAAATGAAATTCGTTTTTTTTTTCTGTCGTTTCATATAATCGCTAGACCATCGACATTACCGTAGCCAATGAGACAATTGCAATTAATACTTCAACCGACGGTCAACAATTGACGCTAAACACGGCGCGAGATGAAAATACGGATATAGAGATATTCTCGGGGCTGCGCGGATTCCCGAACTCATTCGATCAATACGGACCCCATGTCGTCTAACTTTCGCAGGATCAACATTGATCCGCTCGCGGCGATCCACCGTGACGAGATGAGCGGAACTTTTGAATAGCGCGAACCCAGCCGCAAACGGAGCGGGCGCTGTTCTCGCGTGTTGAGCGGCATAACGGCGTGATTCAAGCAGAAGTTCCTTTCTTCGTGCCGAGGCGAGAGGAGCTTGCGCGAAAAAAGAGCAGCGGCTTCGAAAGTGGCGTGCTGCGATTCGCACGGCAAAAAAGGAAAGAGCTTTCGCGGTTCGCTTGCGGCGCATTAGCTAATCCGCGTTGCTCCAGCATACCGCTGGTGAGTCGATTGGCGTGAGACAGAGAGGAAGAGAGAGAGGGTGAGAGAGAGAGAGAGA